AATTATATATTTTATCATAATATCAAGGAGGAAAGGAGGTCGAGTCCATGCTTGGATCCTTCACTAGTGTGATTCCGAACCATACTAAAATATTTTCTTAGAGAGAGCATTTTGAAAGAAAAGAAGTTTGTGGTAGGTAGTGGTGTGGATAGAGTGGAAAGAACTCTTTAACAACTGATGGATACTTTTCTGTTTCATAAAGTCTTCAACTTGGCATCTCAAGGCGTTGAAAAATAGAGAAGGAAGATGATGCAAGTCCCAACAGTTAAACTGGGTAGCCAAGGCTTAGAGGTAAACCGTAAACTTGTTGCTTTTACCATCCACTACTTCTGTGCTAGTGCCTGTTTTTCATCATCCTTATTAACTGTTCATAACTTGTTTATCATCAAAATAACTCAATTAGTTCACCATTAAGAGGAAGAAGACATTCAACCCCTTTTTAGTACCTTCAGTTGTCATCATATCCTTGTTTTTGTTAAATCAATTTCCTTTTACAGACATGTAGCATCGTTTATGCTTTCTTTTCTCTTTTGTGGGATACTTGTAGAATGACTTAACTTTATTTTTCAAGCAACAGACAGTGGTAATGTTCAATGGCTTTACCCATTTGGATTGTTTTAGATTCAGAGATTAGAGGAGTGGTACAATGTTAGTTGTGTAGAGCATAAGTTATGTTAGAAATTCAATTATGTATACTACATACAAAAAAAAAAAAAAGTTACATAAATTAGTCATTAACCTTTTCAGATCCTCCTTCTCAACTTTTTTTTCCTCTCCATATCCTTCCCTCTCTTGATCTCTCCCTTTTAGCTGACCTAGTATCTGATTCAATAGTTTTGATAAGAACAGGACCTGCTGTATATATTCATTTGTGGAATGCAGGTTGCTAGGTTGGGCTTTGGATGTGGAGGATTATCTGGAATTTATAATGCCCCCCTCTCGCATGAAGAAGGATGTGCAATCATTAAGGAAGTATTCAATAAGGGTGTTACCTTCTTTGATACAGCGGATCTTTATGGAGATAATCATGATAATGAAATCATGGTTGGTAAGGTAACATATTACCCAACTAATTAATATTTATTTAATTTTAGTTCTAAGTGTTGAAACTTGAAAGCAGACAATCAATTGTGAGCTTCAAGTTGCAGTAATTTGATTAATCACGTGTTAACAACTGATTCACTAATAGATCACTCTTTAGATGCAGCAAATGTCATGTATTTATACATTACAAATATCATTATAACAGGGCAACATAAATATTAGTTTGTTCAGACAATCACCTGGTGGGGGAATAACAAACGTGAAAAATTTAAGTCAATTATGATATCGGTGAGACATAAGAGTAAACTAAACTTACACTTAAATGAAAGCAAGAAAGCAAGAAAGAAGAGGAAGATATTATAAAACACTGTATTTACTTCAACTCATTTCATACTATCCAGAATACATTATAGGCAATTTCATAATTATAAGATAGTTGGCCTTTTTATAGGAAATTTCATGCATTATAAGATAGTTGGCCTCTTTATAGGCAATTTCATGCATTATAAGATAGTTGGCCTCTTTATAGGCAATTTCATGCATTATAATATCATCAACTTCCTATGCAGTTGACTGTGGAGTATTCTTATCTTGCAGGCTGTAGACAGCATTTTCTTATTTTATATTTTAGCTATAGAACTTTCATAATTACCAACTATTATAATTAAAGATGTCTTTTCTACTGTCATCAGGCTTTAAAACAACTTCCCCGAGAGAAAGTCCAGTTGGCAACAAAATTTGGTGTTACTGTTTCTGAAGGGATGGTTTTTGGGGTAAATGGTACCCCTGAATATGTGCGAGAGTGCTGTGAAGCTAGTCTTAAGAGACTCGATGTGGACTATATTGATTTATACTATCAGCATAGAGTTGACACATCAGTGCCAATTGAAGACACTGTAAGCTTTGAATGCTCTTCCTCCCTTGTTAGTTATGTATACCATTCCAATTTCCAACACTTCTAAATCCTAGATGATCAAGTGCTTTAATATTGACCTCTGCATGGAAGATGGGAGAGCTCAAACAGCTGGTAAATGAAGGGAAGATAAAGTATATTGGGTTGTCAGAGGCTAGTGTTGACACTATAAGGAGAGCACATGCTGTTCATCCTATTACTGCTTTGCAAATGGAGTATTCCCTATGGAGCCGTGACATTGAAGAAGAAATAATTCCACTCTGCAGGTGTTTAAATAGAAATATTAACTCTACTGTATATATTGTCAATAATCACAAGTATACATTTGCATTGAGTTTTAACTTGATATATTTTCTAACTCTTTCAATTATGGTTCTAACTTGAATTACTGAAAGAAAATTGTTGTTGTCTAATGTCTAACTAAGAAGCATTTTGTACTTGCAGAGAACTGGGGATTGGAATAGTGGCATATAGCCCTCTCGGTCGTGGCTTTTTTGCTGGAAAGGCAGTGTCAGAGAGTTTACCTGGTCAGAGCTTGCTGGTATGCAGCTGGTGACAAGTTATACAGTATTCATGTTTGCATGAATTTGTAGCTTTTCCTTATTATAAGGGTCAAAGTAAAACTAACAAGGGCGGTTCAATACTTTAATCTACTTGTTGGATCACATGTCTGCTGAGGAAAAATGACATACATATCACACTAGGTTAGTTCTACTTCTATTCATGCAGTGATTGTATATTGAATTTTCCTCTTGTTTCTGTAACAGAATATACATCCCAGGTTCACCGGAGAGAATTTGGAGAAGAACAAGCTTTTCTATAAACGACTTGATGACTTGGCTTCTAAGCATGCATGCACTTCTTCTCAATTAGCCTTAGCTTGGCTTCTCCATCAGGGAAATGACATAATCCCTATACCTGGTAGTGTCTTTATTACTTTTAGGAAGAGTTTCATGTTCAACATATTTGAATAGTTTCTTACTCTGAGCTTCTATTGTCCCTTCTCCGAGTTTTCTTTGTCACATGCTTAACAAATTATGCTGAACTATTTTTCTTGAGAACATGAGTTTGAGCTTAACTTAGTTTTTCCTATTACACTCTCTCATATCTATCATTATTGGATTTAGTACGTATATTAATTATGAATGATCTTTTTTAATAATTTAGGATAGATGAAAATTGAATTTTTTTCCAATATACGTTTAACATTATTGGACATGGTGCATTACAAATTGTGGGTGGCCTTTTAAGAGATCTAAGATAACTTTAATATCATCTTAAAATATATATATTTGAACTTAATTAATTCAATTTTACAAAATTAATTTATTAAGTGAGAATTGTTTTTCATTTATATATACTATATTGGTTATACCACTGAACAATGTGAAGTCTCCATCCATTAACTTTAATATAATCTTAAAATCTAATTTATTAGATAATGATTATTTGCCACTTATATACACTGTCTTGGTCATACTACTATCTATATCTGGCATAGTGTGCATTTGTTCATTCATCGTATCTAGATCTTGTTCATAAAATTAAAATATGTAATTATTGTAAGCATGAAAATTTATAAATTAATTCTAATGACCGAGTGCTTTTATCGTGCATTTCTTTTCCATAGGGACTACTAAACTGAAGAACTTTGAAAACAACATTGGATCTCTGACCGTGAAACTTACAGAGGAAGATTTGAGGGAAATTTCTGAAGCAGTTCCTGTTTATGAAGTTGCTGGGACACGAGAGTATGGTATGTTAAACAACTATATTTGGAAGTTCGCAACCACACCACCAAAGTAATGGATCGGAGTTGAGAAGAACCGTGTAATGAAATAATGTTGTATTTGTATTCACCCCTTATGCTTATCACAATAAAATAACCACTGGGATTCTTCCTAAGAAAATGACTGTGAATGGAAATTAAAGAAATCATATATATCATTTGTGCTTATAATTCTTCTTCTTAATTAAACCAAGTTATTTGTGCTGATTTATTTATTATTCTGGGCTTATATCAGATATATATTCATAATTCCATATTGTGGTGAAGGATTTCCCCTTGAGCTTATCTTCCAGAATTTGTCATGTGCTGGCAAATGGCAAAGAAATTAACTGACACTAAGCTTTTAATTGAGCAAAAAATAATGTTATTTGCATATTTCAACATTCGCCCCTCAAGTTATTCTTAATAGTCACTCTGATGTTCAATGATAACCAAATAATTAAGAAAGTAAATGTAAAAAAGTATTTATGAAAAATATATTTAATTCTATAAAAATAAAATAGTTCAAAAAATATTTTTGAAGTAATCAAAAGTATTTAGTAGGGTATTTTTTGGTAAATAATAAGGTATTCACAGACTTATTATTAACAAAACTCTTTTAAATATTGTTTTAATTACTACACAAAAAAATGGGATATATTTTAAACGATTATCGTCCCTATTCTCTCTGTTATTATCTTTTGGAACTAAAGAATTAATATAATGTGAACAAGTCTAATTATAAATTAATAATATTTATAAATAGTATTTTATTATGTGTATTCTAGACAGCAAACAGGGATTAAATCCTATAAACTAATCTTATATCCAATCAATTCTTAGAAGCTATGTCATCTTATTGCAAAGAATTCGATGAAACACGCTTACGTTCCCTGCTAAACACGGTTCGTATAGTAAGCATCTTGGTTATAGAGAAAAGAAAAGAAAAAAGAATTGTTTTAAAGACAATTTTAGTTTCTTGGTTAATGAATAAGGATCGTGCTGAGCCACCACATGCACCAATAAGTTATCTACATGTCTGTAGAATGTTCCAGACCTTACCAAACATAGTAGTAAGAATAATAGAGGTCCTGCAATTCAAGTTTCAGCCTCAGATTCATTAAGGGTCCTAATGAGACCCACGTCTCCCTTACTTTTGCCATGTGTGGACAAGTGAACCCACGTGAACCAATGACATTTAGGGCCTATATACGCATGACGTGGAACCAAAATATCCACCACTATGCTTGCCCTCCAATTCTATATAAGCAACCTTCTTCAATATTTCATCTACCACATCAAGCAGTGCAGTAACAAGCACTAAAGTTCCCTCATAAATACTCGAGTTCTAGAGTTAGGTGGCAACAAAAGCATTCTTATAGTTAGTTTTTGTGTCTAATAATCTTTGTGACGTTGCTATATTGTGTTTGTGTGTTCATCTTGGAACCGTGACACTAAATTCAATTCATCTATGGCTGCCTCATCTTTTGCTATGCAATCAATCCTGACCAACCCTATGATCCGCATTTCCAGCGGGTCTAGGGTGAACCGTTTTGGCATTCCT